GAGAGAGAGAGAGAGAGAGAGAGAGAGAGAGAGAGAGAGAGAGAGAGAGAGAGAGAGAGAAAGAACGAGTGAGCAAGTCACGTAACGCTATCGTTGCACCAGCAAGCACATCGTCATCATCCAAAAAATGTCGAGTGTATCTCGTTCTTGGCAATGAAGAGATGGAGACCGATTTCCTACCGAGCAAATCATTCCTAATCGCCTTCTAATGCCTACAGCGCTTAACTGCATTATTATTTCCGATATTTGAATCCGATGTTCGTGGCGACTCCCTTCCTGTATTGAAAGCGTTTGTTTACGTGTTTACGCTGCCTGGATCAGACCTACGGAAGATGACGAGGCAGATTCGCGGCTTGGGTGCGTCTTTGTATTACAGACTATCACGTGATATATAAATATGTCTTATATGCGTATCTTATAAAACACATTTGTTCTCACCTACTCTCTTCAGCATCTATCTTAGGGCGATGGTTATACGCAAAATATTTGCACGCCGTGTGGACACACTAACGACTCCATTACTTTGTCCCGTTGTTAAGACAGATAAGGTCTAAGGACACGTGATGGATCGTATCTCGGCAGGAGTCTATTTAGTATCGCTTCAAACAGTGCCATCGACGCCAAGCAATCTATTATCCTAACGATTCACTCGTGTACCTCCTCCTCACGTTTATACGCTTTATAGGCTACAGCTTCGTTCCACGTTATTGAGCTCGCATTTCTTCTCGGATTTCAGGAAAATTGTATACAATGATCTCGTGGCTATTACACCTGAGCAGTATTTCAAGCAAATAACAAAACGCGTTGCCGAGATTAAGGCGGTGTCGGTAAGTGTGGTGACGGAAGAAATCTCTCTTGTGACCCGAGACATCGATCAGACGTTCTCGAAAATCAACGTTTGCGACAGTGTCAGATACTTAATTCAACAGTGAGTACTGTTACTTTACAGAGCCCGGACGAACGCGGTGTTATTGTGCAAATGCTCGAAAGTGGATACCGGTTCGTGCTTGGTTCCATTGGTGGAGGTACGTATAAAATCCTGTTTACATTTCTACTTGATATACATTTTTACCTTTTGTTTCTATTTTTTTATATTTTGTCCTCTTTAATAGCAAATAGAAGTTAAATAATTTCGCTCCTATTAAAGAGGGGAGGGGGGAAGGAGTGCTCATAAGTAATCAAACATTAAAAAATACATTTGTAAGTGACTTGTAAGATAAAACATTTTTGTCTATAGACGAAGATTTATTTTTATTTTACATGTTATATTTACACTTAATATAATGTATTATTAAACAATGTATTATTATTTTACGATAATAAGATTTCAGAATTAAAATAAAGATTTTATGCTATAAAAATTAATATCATTTGCATTTCTTTGACATGTTTTCTGCGAATTGAGAAAATCTCTCAATTGGACAAAAAGTTACCATCTAACTTAACCTAGGATTGGAAACTATGAATTATTGAGTTTAACAATAAATTGGCTTAGGCTATCATTGCAACGACATATTTTAGAAATGAAGCAATCGTGTGTTTGTAGCCGTTGGAGCCACGGCTGTATACCCGATCGACTTGGTGAAGACCAGGATGCAGAACCAGAGAACTGGGTCCTTCATAGGCGAGCTGATGTACAGGAACAGCTTTGACTGCTGTAAAAAGGTTGGAATCGAAAAGTCTCGCCGTGTAACACTCTCTGCATTGTTAATCATAAAGCTGGTATTCTGCGTTTGACAGGTCATACGACACGAAGGCTTCTTCGGCCTTTATCGAGGTCTGATGCCTCAGTTAATGGGGGTAGCCCCTGAAAAGGCTATCAAACTGACAGTCAACGATTTCGTCAGAGACAAGTTTATGGATAAGAACGGAAATCTGCCAGTATACGGAGAAATCTTATCTGGCGCCTGTGTGAGTAATTTTCTTTTCTTTTTTTATACGCTTAGTATTATGAAACTTCTTGTTAGATAAAACATGAAACAGTACAAGACAAATGAATGGGCAAGAAATTAATCTAAAGTACAGGCAATATATTAGAAGCACTTATAAGTGTAATTAAGTATCCAGGTAGCAAGGTGACGTCTAAAAACGTCACTTTGCTATCTGGGTGTTTAAAAATGAAACATATTTAAACATATTTAACTCTAGAATACCACGCTTCAAAAAATCACGGGCCTGCCATACTGAGGTAATGACTACCCCACGTCATATATTTCGTTATAATTTTCACAAAAATTAACCGATTAAAAAAAAAATATATTTTTTATCGAAACGCCAGATTTCAAGGAATTCGTCTATGTATAGAGAAATATGAAAAAGACAGGTGTTTAGAAAATATACCAACCTCGCAGTTGATAATTCCCAAAATGGCAGACCCGCAAAGTTTTACCTGGAGTAAAATTTACCTCTAAGATCGTAACCTAGGGTTAAGAATCTGTAGACAAAGCTTATTTTAAGATTAATAAATATAATAAATTCAATATCTTACCTTCCCACCTAAAAGAAGATATATGTAACGAGATATTTCTTTTTTCTTTTCATAGGCCGGAGCGTCTCAAGTGATATTCACTAATCCATTGGAGATAGTGAAAATCCGATTACAAGTGGCCGGAGAGATCGCAGGTGCGTCAAAGGTGAGAGCGTGGGCCGTCGTCAAGGAGTTAGGTCTTTTTGGATTGTACAAAGTGAGTAATGATTAAGACCTTACACGATCTTCCTGTTTCTCATTTTTTCTCTCTTTCTCTCTTTCTGAAAGTTGTGCTAATGGCGGTCACAATCTCTTCGTAGGGCGCCAGGGCCTGCTTTTTACGAGATGTACCGTTTAGTGCGATATACTTTCCTATGTACGCTCACACAAAAGCGCGAATGGCCGACGAAGGTGGTTACAATACACCATTGTCGCTTCTCGCTTCCGGTGCGATCGCCGGTGTGCCTGCGGCAGCGCTGGTCACTCCTGCGGACGTAATAAAAACGAGATTACAGGTACGTTTCTCACTTTTTCTCGCACCAGTTATGTACGATCATCTAATCTCCGTCCGAAATTCCCTAATCTTTTCATAACTTCATTACCTTTTCATTTTGTAGGTCGTAGCTAGGGAAGGCCAAACCACGTACAACGGGCTGTTGGACTGCGCGAGAAAGATCTATAGGGAAGAAGGCGCTAGGGCATTCTGGAAGGGCGCAACAGGTATGTCATTTTACTATCTATTCTCTACGGGTGAAGTTTTCGAGACACAGTAACTTTGTTATTTCTGCACTAAGCGCAAATTTTCTCAAAAAATCTATAAATTTACTAATCTCGATCTCGTATGTCAGTGGGACGACTTTATCGCGGGGAAACAGGGAAAAAAAAATCAATAAGAATTTCTTTCTGTTAGAAATATTTGTAGAGTCTCTTTCCCGCAATAGCTACATACAATCTGGTATCTGGCATCTTTGTGATATACATAATCATTGCCGTTTATAATTCACTTTCTTTTCTGTAAGAAGTAAAAATAAATAAAGAGATTCTCTCACATTTCTCTCGACGCGAGACCTCCGAGAGTATAATTAGTGATATATTCTGCTTTGGTCGATTGCATGCGCGGGGAATCGGCCCTGCTGCATCTTTCGATCTTTCTTCCTTCCCAATATGACCCGGCGATTTACTTGTCAGTAAGTACCTATTTCTCTTGGTCTGTTCCTTTTATGATTTACGCCTGTCGTACCCTGTGTCCTCGTTTTCTTCAGTCTGCAGTCAGCATACTTACTCTTTGTACTCAGAACGATCATCGAGTGTAACGTATCATCTTATATTCATGCGTATCTTGCAGCTATAACTCTGAAAATGCACGTCAATAAACTATATGAGTCTTCTTTTCAGAAATGCGATACATTGTTGAAGTTGTCGCAGAGGCGATGTTCTCATATTTTAATATGTCAAGCATATATTGATAATTATTAATAAGACACTGTTATATTTTTTGCTCTTAGGAGATATTACTCTGTCGTGTTATCTGTATAAAAGACATATATTTTTTTTATTTAAGCTCCACATGTGTCGCATCGAGTCTTCAATTTTGGATTGCGCATTTTGACTGGCATTTTCTCGATTTTGGCTAATATTTATTCGCAGATATCTCGTGAAATTAACCGCGTACTAGGCGAAAATAAAAATGCATTGATGTAAAAGTGAACATATAAATTGTCAGCTGTGTGGTTATAATTTTCAGCATATAACTATTCTCATTGTTCATGATGTTCATTCACCTTGTTCTCTCAGAAAGGAAATAGACAGCCACCATGCCGATATGCTTGCCATCGGAAAACGTCCCAAATCTTTATTTGGACAAAGAAAACGAAAGCCACTTTAACAACTTGTACATCCCATATCATGTGCTTCTCTGTTTTTACAGCTCGAGTGTTCAGATCGTCGCCTCAGTTCGGTGTCACTCTTTTCACATACGAATTGCTGCAAAGGCTGTTCGTCGTCGACTTTGGAGGATCGTGAGTATACATTTTTATAGATATTGCAAACAGTGATATGTAATGCCATGTGTCAAACTTTCTATTCTTAGGTGATAATTTTCTTAGTTACTATTTAATAATTGCCAATTAGAAAATATTAAAATTTAGTTTTATCGTTGTGTAAATTAATGATTGAAGAAATAATGTGGATTAATGTGTGTATTAGTAATGTATCATTATCAGAATTGTATCAAAGTTATTAAGTTTCTATCTATTTAACCTTTGAGTATTGTATGGTCTCATTCATATGCTCAAAGTAAGCCGTTTACTATGGCCTGAAGACATTCAGCTTCTGTTTTGGGCTATTGACGTTTCAATTGTTTTATTACCTTGAATTCAGATTTATACTGCAATACTAGACAAAATCGTAAAACTTCTAACTTGTTCTCGTAAGACTCGTAAGAACTTATGAATAGATCTGCTATTTTATGTAGACCGTATGTCACGTGATAACTCGTAAATATCTACGATTTTTTTTTCGTAAGCTACAATTTTACTCGTATATTTCCTTAAAATTGTGGCATTAATTTATTTCTTATAATAAATTTTTTTAAAGCAACTTTATTTCTTAGAGTAAATTTTTTATATGAAAAAGTAAATTTTTTTTTCAAATAAATTTCTATATATATTATTACTTCTCTATAATTTTTTATATATTTTTCTATATTATTTCTTAGAATAAGTTTTTATATAGATTTTATATAGATTTTTATATAGATTTATTTCTTAGAATAAATTTATTTCTTAGAGAAAATTTTTTGAGAGGAAATTAATAAATTTATTTATTATAGTTTATTTACTCTATGATTTTTATTTTAACTAAATTTATTGAATGACTGAAATAATAAACTCCAATAAATTTACCAGTCAGGTGAAATGTTTGATGGTCTGCCACAGTTCTAGTCACACTCAGAAGCGCTCTTTTATTGTGCTTCTCCGCACTCGAAAATAATTAAAAAGTTCATCGTAAATTCGTCCCACTATTAGAAACTTAAGATGAAGATCGGCGGAACTATTTGTCTAGATAATTTCGCGAGAGAAATTTGTTTTTTTAAATCAAATTATACCTGTGATTTAATTTCAACGAGCGTAATGATCTCTGATATTGTTCACAGTCGACCTACCGGGTCGGAGCAAAAGGTGCCTACCATGGGAGTCGCGGACGAGATTCGATCAACGAATCCAGATCACATAGGTGGCTACCAAGTAGCTCTGCCCATCTTCACGGGTATAGAAACCAAGTTCGGTCTTTGCCTACCCAGGTTCCAGGCTATTACTGGAAAGTAACGGTGCCATCAGCAGCTGCTAGAAAAACGAGAGAGGAAAACGAGGAAGAACAAGCTTGTAGCAACCCCTGCCATAAAAGTAACGTGTGCGAGTCGCTGAGCCGCTCTCCATCGAGCGCGCGTGAAGCGAGCGAGGCGAGCGTTCATGAACTACAAATTGTGACAGCTCGTCAAAACGTTTCCATCTCTTCTCGACGATCGGCTCGGCCATTTCGAGTTGGGTACCAATTGTACACATCGGCAATAAGAAGGAACGGCCGCGTCGGTCCGTTGAACACGATGACGCGCGCACGCATGCATGCGTGGTTGTGTAAATTTTATAGACGAGGGAGAAGTACAAAAATCCGCCGTTCGCGGTATGCCCGGAGGAAACGTTCGTGATAGCTGAGTCGATGCAGTCAATTGATAAAACACAAATAAAAAGAAAAAAAAAGAAGAAACGGATGGCATTGAAAATTATTTATTTTGATACTATATAGATACGTTATATCAAATTTGATGCCATCTGTGCGTAATTATTTTACATTGCGAGAGAGAAAGAGACATTTATCGACGGTTCTGCGTGAGTTGTTACTGGCTTGAAACGCGTCCGCTGCCGTAAGCGCGTGTAAGCAACCCAACCGAGAGTGCACGTTCGTTAAATTACAAACGATTAAACGCCAATGGACATGAGTGTGATGTTCTAGCAGAGATTACTAATACGCGATGGCCCCCCGACGTGTGTACGTACTGGATATATACATACATCTATGTAGATTTTAACGCGAGTTAGGCCTTTGTAATTGCGAGTTATATCGTTTATCCGAATCCGCCTACTTGTACAGCTGGTGAAGAGCGTAGGGCGGCAGTAAATCTGTTTTTAAATTGTCGCACGGCGCTTCATCGACAAAATACATGCGTAGAGACACACGTGCGTCCGTTATTGAAGGACGAAAGAGAGACAGAGAGAGAGAGAAAGAAAGAGAAACAGAGAGGGACTACACTGACGTCCCATCACGTCATTTATCCGAAATGCAGCGAATCCTACATTTACGTCTTGCGGAGCGAACTAAATATATAGTTCGATGTTTACCATAGCGAGATATACAAATTTTCGAGGACGAGTCTTATTAAAATTGTGACGAAAATCGCAGCGGAAGCGTCTTCTCTCCGTTCGTGTCTCAGAGTGATTGAGCGATTGGGGTAAAACGAGAGGATAGATTTTCGTTCGATATTTGCGACAATCATGATTTCAATTGGAACGGATTTATTGACACTCGACAGCACCACCAGTTCTACAATTACGTGCGCGAGCAGAGAAGAACAAAGTTTAACGCACACAACCGAGAAAATTTGTCGGCGATGGCAGTTGATTAGGAAATTGTACACGTTGAAATGCATTTCTGTAATTTCTGTAATCATCTCGTTTCTTTTTCTTCCTTTTTTACAATGGAGAGGTATACGCAGGACGAGTGTAGCGAGAAAATTTTCTGGAAGGCAGAACTTCGAACCGCGAGGCAGACAATATGCGATTTGTTTAACGCGCGCACGCGCGTGAGTTTCCATTGTATATTTATATTATCGCCTGCAGAGAGAGAGGGAGAGAGAGAGAGCGATGCGGAATTGAGAATACGAAGTTACGAATCATCTGCGCATAATTTACAGAGATGTGAAAATTATTAGAATAATTTTGATTTCTTCATTAATTTTCTCTAATTTTTTTTCAATAAGTGCCCAATTTCAGGAAATATTACAGTTTGTTATCAATATTTCTTATAGATCTAAAATGATTATAGATTTGTATTACACATTGCACAACTAAATGACCGATTATTTCACAAAAATGAACTTTATTTACTAAAAATAAACTTTCAAGTATTTATTTTTAGTATATATAAGTATTTCGGTTATTTTTTATATAAGTATATACATAATTCATATATATGAATTTATATATACATATATATACTTTTACATGCAAAATATATCTTACAACAGAATTTGATATATAATAAGCATTGCATATGCATTAAGCATTTATTAAGAAGATCAATTAGAAAAAAACGAATAAAGAATTAAACTTATTCTAATAATTTTGACACCTCTATATACCTCTGTATACCAACGACAAATTTCTTAAGTGATTCTTTCGAGCGTTTTAAATTTGCAACAAGCGTTTTTCAGGCAGTAGAGGAGATTTTCTGTTTGTAAAAGTTGTTGAAATAGATGTCACGTATAGTAAAGTTATAGCTCGAGTATTTTGCCCGAAGCGATTCTTTTCTCACGACTTTGTACGGATATCTGAGCGGGACGATCGAGCTTTTTTACATCGCAATATTATCACGGGGTGAATAAACGAAGGAAATAACGGGGGAATAATTTATTACGGCTTATCTTTCACAATACGATCGATATATTTAATATTCTCGCGAGACGATCCTTTACGCTTAAGCGATCTCGAACACGAACGACTACGTTGAGCGCGGGTTGAAGAAAGATGCGTCGACATTGACGTCCCTTTTACGCTTTGCTTCTTGATATAACTCATTGGAGACTCGATAGACTCGAAAACGGTTGATTTACGAGCGAGTTGTGTGAATTCAAGAGCTAGGATATTTTTGTAACGTTTGTATTCATGTAGAAAATGTAGGGAGAACTTAAGAGATTTTCTCGGCGAAGAGACACTCTCCTCTTTTCCCGTATATTAAAGAACAAGAAGAGGAAAGACAAGAACAAAAAGAAAAGACAAAAGAAATACATAGAAAACTGAAATTAAGACGCGTTTTAGACGCCCGTCTTATAATACGAAAATTTATCACTCGTAGGCAGAATTGGCCGCTTTACGAATCTAGCAATTTGTAGTTTCGCGGACTTCTTTAGTCGATGTACTCTTTCTACTATATATTTAAAAAATACAGTTCTCCGGGCAATAGAATGGGTAATCGGTAATCCGGGTGTGTATGGTGTATATGTGTGATCACACACATAAAGAGACACGACCACACACACGCGCTATTGCACAAAAGATATAGCACTGCGCGAGCGGGCCTTCTCTTCTATAGTTGTAACTGCCATTCGTTTTAGCTTCTTTGTAAATATAACTGACAGGCGCATATTGTATATAAATGAAAAGACATATTTATATGCAATATATCTTATCATTCGTTTATCAATTCTGTGCGATGTGTGCACATCATCATTCAAGATCGATCAAAATTATTCGCGTCATCAAAGGCATCATTTTGATGTTTAATTCTTTGCGGTCCTGTGCCGAGCTTGACTCGATATCGAATCTCTTTTTGCTCTTTTCCAAAGTGAAATCTTGTGTAGGAAAGTTTCATGGTTTTTCATAGCGTATATTATGTTACTAAAATGGTCGATTGATGATGTTTATCTTAAGCTAAACAGTAACTATACTATATACAAAAATAACAGTAACGATACTATATACAAAAATAGTCGATTTTACGTGGACCGGCTGTGGAAAGGCGAGACTTTAAACATAACTGGGACCGCAAAGAGTTAATTCTCGTAGAGGCTCCTCGGGGAAAAATGATTATATATGCATTTTGTTTATGGGAGTATACAATTATACTTAATTATATATATCCATACTAAGAAAAATGCTGTTGTACAAAGATACAATTGAAGTAAATGCTTATGTTTGTGGTAGTCGTGATGTCGACGTTGTTAATTGAATGAAACTAGTTTTCCTTTTTTTCACTCAACAGCATCTTTTTTTCCGCGTGGATCTATATTATGTATGATTTTACATGAGTTATAATATATAAATAAATATATAGTATATATATAGGGTGTTTCAGTAAAAGTGGGGAATCTCCTGAGAATGACTAGATCAGATGGAAATAACATCATAAGTTCATGTAAAATTTTTCTCTTCAACGCACGTGAAGAATACTGAAATATTCACCATCAGAATTAAGATTTAAAAAGTATCTCCTAAAAATAACTTTTATATTGCTTAGTAGATTTTGATAATCTTTGTCATTTTTATACTAAGCGAAAATTAAGATAGTGTGATTATTTTTTGATATTACACGAGGGAGCTGGGAAGCAAACCATTTGTAAGTTTCTTAATCCCCAAACTTTGCAATAAGTTGGGTTTCTTATTTCATAACATTTTCTTAGATTCTTCAGAACCTTTTGAAAACAAATATTCTTGTTTGAATTCGAAAAAGCGAATCGTTTTCGAGAAAAGTGCATTTGAACGGTGAAAGGAAAAACTTGATTGCACAAACAATAATGAATAATTAATATTATAATTGAAATGAAATATAGACTTATTTATAGAAAGTGCTTTTTTTAGATCCTAATTTCAAAAGCGGATATCTCAACAGGGACTTATTGTAGAAAAATTTTTATATGAATTTATAGAGTTATTTTCACCTATACACTACTAGAAGACTGCCTACTTTGAAACACTCTGTACATAGTTATAAATTTGATTTTATGTGGCCACATAGAAACAAAATTCATATATGAGAGGAATCATGTATAAATATAAAAAGAAAAAAAATATATATGTAATATATAATTATACACACACACACACACACACACACACACACACACACACACACACACACATATATATTTCTCCGTATATATACTGGAATCCCTGGGATCCCAGTGCAACTTTCTCGAATTGGTTTCTTCGCGTTTCTTTTCTCTTTTAACCCGTATATCTCGGAACTCTTTAATCCTGTCGACTTTTATTCATTATAGGCTTGCTCCTTAATCAATTCTCTATAGGTTAAAAAAAAATAAATTAAAATATGTCAAGTTTTGATAGAATTACAATACAAATATAGATGGGGTCCTCAGGACCCCAGTGTGTACAGTACGTAGATAAAATATAAGTGTGTATATGGAGAGATATATATACACATGCTTTTTTATAATTATATATAATCATGTTTTTTCCCAGGTCTTCACGTAATGCTTCTCGCAATCACTTTCGTTGTATTTTAGTTGAGTCGAGAGCGCAACGCAAACAATCGCATATTCGGCGCATCTTTTAAGTGGAACGTGGAGGAATGAAGCGCGAGCGATTAGAGTTTTCGCTACTGATTTGTCGATTAGCTCCCTTTGATCCTCGCACGCACCAAGTACCGCATCATTAGCTCGCACGCATTCACTGAAACTTGCGTACGGTACTTGAGACACTTTCGCTTAGTCTTAGTCCGCTTCGCGACTGAGAAAGTTCGAAGTATCGGAGCAAGTGCACTTTAATACTTCGATATCGACTGTATCGATATCTTGTTGACGATCGGCGTATCATGCCTGTAACGGACAGCTCTTTCAGGGTCATGTATATAAGAATAATTAAGTTACAGATGAATGTGAAGAATGAGAGAGAAAGGGAGAGAGGGAGAAGGGCGAACCTGCTGAATCGCGCGGAGGACGAGAGAAATGTATCGACGGTCCATGAATATTCACGTTCGATGCATCAAGTCTGAAAAACGCTCACTAATCTAAGTCTCCTCTGAAGCGTCTTTCTGAGAACTTCCGTCCGACAATCGTCCCGTTACTGTGGACACATTCAGATTTCCGCGAAGTTCATCGTCGGTGACCGGCATTACGATGCTGCCGTGTATCATTGAGTTGCGTGTAGAATGTAATTGATTGCGTCTAAGGCCCATATTTTGATAGTTGAAACTTGTCTCAAGTGAGATCCTTGCTTAAGAAATCTGATAAGAACTGATAGAAATATGTAAAAATTTCATTGGAATGATATATGACTTTAATTGAATTTATTACTTTTATCGGGAGTTTAAACTTCTTACACTTCAGCTCATGTAAAAAAATTACCAATTTTTACTTATTCATACTGATTAAATATTATGTTAAACGATTAAATATTGATTTGAATACAAATATCTTTTTATGTAATTTTATCATTTTTTACCAAAACACGACTCAGTTATATAGATTTTTTTCTTCTGTTAAATTTTATTAAATATATATATTTATTTTAAGCAGAGACTCTTAAACATTTTTTCAGCACTAAATCCTAATTTTTCAGTAGAATTATGATATATATGATATTTACGTCTGTGACTTTATTAACTAAACCATGATTTTCTCTATTGAAAAACTCTCATCTACTTTGAATTTAAATCTGAGTATCTTATTTTTGAAAGAAGAGAGAGAGAGAGAGGGGGGGAGGGAGAGTTTCAAGTAATAACTATATTAACTATCTAACTATATAATAACTCTATTAATACGGGCCTTAATGATTGGCTGTCAGTAGAGTTGATGTAAGGAGATAAGAGACATATGCATTTTAAGCAAGGTTGGGAAAGTTACTTTTTCAAAGCAATATATTATTACTTGTTATCTATTGAAAGAAGTAACTTGTTACTGTTACCATTATTTAATTGGCAAAGTAATTCGATATTGTCATTCTCATTTCAGAAGTAACTAATAGGAAAAAGAACGATTATATAATAATTATATATATTATATTATTATAATATAATAATTATAATATAATATACTATAATATTATATTATAATATTATAATATATCATAATTATTATATTATATTATTTTTAATAATGCTAAAAGCGAAGAAACGTATGTTAAAAACTCTTACCAAATATGTTGAAATAGAAAGATAAATTCACAAAATGACACAATTGATTAAGCACATTTCTAAAATTTATAAATTCTAATTTATAAATTCTAAACTTGATTTTCTGATTTTTACTTGATTTTGTTGAGTTTTTATTAAGTTTCTGTTAAGTTTCGGATAAAAATATTCCTTTTGATAATTGTGCATTAAATTATTATAAAATTGTTTTCCACCAATAAAAATAATAATTTTTATCTGTTTTAAGATAACTTCTGAATACTCGTATCATCCATATTTTTTTTAATAACGCTAAAAGCGAGGAAACGTATGTTAAAAACTCTTGCAAGATACGTCGAGATAGAAAGATAAATCCACAAAATGACACAATCGATTAAACACATTTCTAAAACATTTCAAACATTTTCTTTTGCTCTAACAATCAATAAATAATCATAAAATTAACGTGACATACAACTCTCATTTTTAATCTAATTTTCTTGTTATTATATTATTATAATAAAATTATACAATAATATAAAATTTGTCTCTCTATATGTGACCACATATCATTATACGTGATTAATTATGTCTACATTAAAAAAATGCTTTTTTATCAAGTTTTGATTTGATAAGTTCAAAAGTGAAAACTTTTTTTTTCTTATTCCTTGCTGTCCATCCTATATATATGTGTTCTATATGTAAAAAATGACGATAGAGAGATAGTAACGGCTATATTTTAAAAGACCATGTATTGTATTCATTATCATTGCCCAAAAATGTAATTGTGTTAGCGTAACTAACTAGACAAAATAAATTCGTTAAGAAAAAGAGCTTATTTAAAGAAATAAAATTATTATTGAAAGAAACTAATATGTAATGACAAGTTACGCCTTACCTCCAACTCTGATCTCATGTTATACTTAATCGCCTTATTTTCAGTAATTTAATTGTCAGTTGAGCTTTCTTGTAATTAGTACAACACTCAACGTGTTAAGCATCCTACGGCGCCGTCCCGTAAAACAATTCTTACATATTTTCACGCGTCAAATGCGTCATACGATGGATTACACAATGCAACGATCACACGCGATCACGCGCATACATGAGCTTTAATATGTAACGTAGATCACAAAGTTCTCAGAAGACGATTCAGCGGATGACAGTGATGGCATTTGCATTTCGGCCCGAGATATCAAACTCTCTGACCATCCTGTTCATAGAGAAATAAATAAATAAATATATATATACATACATATGTTGCGTGATATAACAATATATATCACACATATACATGTACACACATGTACATATATATGTAGGAGTGGGACACTCGAAAATTTCGAAACCTCGAAACCTTGAAACTTTGAAAGGTTTCGAGGATTTGGAACTTTGTGCTAATTTTGTGATTCAAAATTCTCGAAACCTGAGACAGAAATGCTACTTTCAGAATGCAACAGTATGTGAAAAGGCTAGCGCACTAGATTAGTAGACTAGACCCGGAAAGAATTCAGATATTAGTGTTTTTAAATAAAAACTTTGATTACATTTTTTGAGTACTTCAGTAGTGATAACATAGATAAAAACTTGAAGAAATTCAAAATTTTATCTAGTTTTAGTTTTTCACATTAAAAAATAATTATTTTTATTTAATTTTTATGTAATTATGTTTAATATTCTATCTAATTATTTGTTTATTAATATTCTATTATTTTCATCTGATTATATATATAGGGTGTTCTCAAAAGATGGTACCAAATTTTAAGGGTATGTAGTACTCGTTAAAACAAACCAAAAAGTCTTAATGAACAGTACTTCGAAAACCTTTTATTTTTGAGTTATGAAGCATTTTATTCTGTGAAAAATAGAAAATAACTAAAATTTACAATAAATGTTCAATGTGCTTTCCATCCATTGCGTTGATGAATTTTACTAAACATTCTTCTACTTGGCTGTCGGCGATTCGGATAAGCTGCATGATACAAGCGTGCTGCTTTTGAAGCATTGCCCTTTGCTCTGCCATACATAAAATGAATATCCGTCATTTCAGAATTTGTGTAAAAATTAGCCATTTTTCAGATAACACAAAACTAGACACGGTCCACAATCCAAAGTTGAATACAACAATCCCTGCGTAATTAGGTGGTCACATACGGGCGTCCGTGAGTGAACTGACTAAGAGACTTGGAAACTGTTGTCAACAAATACGAAATAAATCTGGACTCTTTGACCTTCAATGACGAAACATGCCAAAATGTGTATTGACATGAGCCGAAGGCACATTGAACATTTATTGTAAATTTAATTTATTTTCTATTTTTCACAGAACAAAATGCTTCATAACTCAGAAATAAAAGGTTTTCGGAGTACTATTCATTAAGAGTTTTTGGTTTGTTTTAACGAGTACTACATACCCCTAAAATTTGGTACCACCTTTTGGGAACACCCTGTATATATATATATATATATATATATATATATATATGTATATGTATATAATTATGTTTAATATTCTATTTAATTATGTTTAATTAAATTTTTAAATACATATATGTATATAAATACAATATATATATGTATATAATTGTTTAATATTCTATTTAATTATGTTTAATTAAATTTTTAAATACAAGAATATTTAATATTCTATCTCACTATATCTAATAAAAATATAAAATTTGATTTTTTGAAAAATTTTGTTGAATTTCTAATTTTTGTATTAAAAATTTAAAACTTGATTTTCTAATTTTTACTTGATTTTGTTGAATTTTTGTTAAGTTTCTATTAAGTTTCTTATAAAAAATATCCCTTTTGATAATTGTGCGTTAAATTATTATAAAATTATTAAAATTGTTTTCCATCAATAAAAATAATAATTTTTATCTGTTTTAAAGCTCCTGAATACTCGCATCGTCAATATTTTTGTTAATAACGCTAGAAGCGAGGAAACGTATGTTAAAAACTTTTGCGAAATATATCGAGATAAAAAGATAAATTCACAAGATGAGACAATCGGTTAAGCATATTTTTAAAATATTTCAAATACTTTCCTTTTGCTCTAACAATCAATAAATAACCATAAAATTAACGTGACACGCAACTTTAATTTTTAACCTAATTTTCTTACTATTCTGTCATATTAATTTTACGATTATTTATTAATTGTTCGGACAAAAGGAAAGTGTACGGAATATTTTAGAGGTTTGCTTAATTGATTGCAAGCGTTATTTTGTGGATATATCTTTTTATTTCGACTTATTTCGTAAGAATTTTTAGCATACGTTTTCTCGCTTCTAACGTCATTAAAATGGACGATACGAGTACGTAGGAGCCTTAAGTGTTGAAAGATTTATATTTATAGTAAGAAGCGTAATTTTATACAGGAGTCCGTGTTTTGCAATTACTCTCTCTTTTTGTAATTAGCATTTCAGGATTGGATAGTTTCAAGAGTTTCGAGGACTTATAAAGTTTCGGATTCGAGTTTCCCTTATAGAAATATCATACTAAGAATCATTGATAATTACTTATTTTCAGTATTAAAAATACTGGATAATAAGTAATTATCAATGATTCTTAGTATGATATTTCTATAAGGGTTCTAGGACTTAAAGTCAGGTTTTGACCATCTCTTATATATATGTATATAATATATATAATATGTATGATATATATGTATATATATGTGTATATACACATATATATGCATGTATATGTATATGTATGAATGTATATATATGTATATGCGTATATATACACACATATACGCACATATATATATATATAAAGTATAAGCTCGAAAATCCGTCGTGGGCATTCGCAGCTCAACAATTCTCGGTTTCTTGCGTCACGATATCGTCTCCCGATTAGTTCCGCACTCGCCGTCGTCGCTGTCAGTTAATGTTATCGTCATCAACACGGTTGCGCAACTTTCAATATTACACCATAAGTATGTCTCTATGCGATATATTTCAGCCACGTCACATGTATGTACGAGATTGAGTTCTACCACCGAGATTGTGTCAGCATGCATAGCGCTGCGGAAGAAAGTAAACTGGATGTATACGCAATTTGTAAATTTTAATTGCGACACGTCATTACATATTTATGGCGAACGATAAGTGAAATATTTGCTGTGTTGTGGCAGATTGGCGGCGGATTCGATCAGAATCGACCGTAATAGATCCATATACGGGGAGAATTTTGTAGTAAAAATTATTATAGAATTTTGTAACAAAGGAATTATCACAATATTCTGTCTTGAGAGAGAAGATTCTAGTTTTAATAGCTGAAAACTAAGATATTTTTACGAATTTTTTTCAAAAAAATTTATAAACATATCAATATATAGACTTTCAATCATATATACTATTTATTATTGTTTTAAATATACAAAATTTTTTAAATGAAATTATAATTTCGTCTAGATTTTTGTGTGAACGTGGTGTCATCAAACGCCTCTAACTTATAGACAACATTACAGCTCGTGTAATAATCGTGTGACAAATGGGACCAGAAAATTTAGAAATTGTATTAAATTTTCTTGAGGATAAATCTAAATCTTTGGAAAATTTCTAGAAATAGTATTTTTCCCGGAAAATATTAAATAAAAAAAAAAAAGAAGGAAAGAGTGACTTCCATGTGCCATCCTTTGTTAAATTTCGACTTTTTGCATGTAACAAAAGTTCATTTTTAGCAAATTTAATACAGTTTTTAAATTTTCTGATTTTCTGATCCCATTTGTTTCGGATTATTACATGAGCTGTAATATTGTCTGTCAGTTAGAGGCGTGTAACAATACGGCGCACAGCGAAACATGAAAGACAAAATTTAATTTTTTTAATAAAAAATAATTTTTTACATTTAAGACAATAATAAACAGTATGATTAAAATTCTATATTGATATTTTTATTCATAAGAAAAATTCGTAAATATCTCCTGTTTTTTCGGCTCTCTAAATCAGAATCTTCCTTTAATTTGTTATCCGCCCATGTGTGCTACGTATATTTTGGGATCCTAAATCTGCTTTTAAAATACACCAATAAAAAGTTTACTATGTTTTTTAACAAAACGTACTTTACTAGTTCGCTCATACATTACAAGAAAAATATGATAAATTGAAAAAAAATTTATATGTAAAAAGAAGTTGCAAAAATTTTCCCTGTATAAACAAAGCTCATGATTGGATCTTGTCATTAATTATTGTTTTGGCGACATATAAGGCGTTCATGAATGGTATTCACTTTTTTTACCAGTTTCAATGGCAGGAAAAGTTCTAGATGCAGTTTTTAAACGGCAATAAGACGTAATATAATAAGAATGTCTAAAATTCTTTTTTCTATAAAAAATCAAGGTTATTTTCACTTTTTCATATCTTCCTTCATCCGCAATATTGTAAAAAGAATCTTCCTTCATCCGCAATATTGTAAAAAGAATCAAAACAAATTAAATAGTAAGTCAAAATGTTATTTTGACCAATATTTAACAGTACAAATACAAACAGAAGAATGTTACGATAATGAATACAATGTAATGAATAATGTTAGGTGCTCAGAACACTTTCGAAATCGTAATCTATTTTCTACAATACAAAGCTCCGTCTTTTGTAATGGAGTTTTATGTGACGTGTCAATTAGGATATTTCGATTTATGTTTTTATATATACGTTATGTTTTTATATATACGTTGTTGAACTTCTTTATTATTATTTTACTGAGTTTTTTTTTACTATAAAATAGCAATACAGATAAAAACATTAACAATAAGTAAACATTATAAATTACCACCGAATTTGATTCTTTTTACAACACTACGGATAAAAAAGATGTGGTTTCATTTAAAAAAATGAAGGTAGCCTTGATTTTGTTACGAAAAAAGAATGTTCTCGAAATATTTCGAGAACATTTCGAGAACTGTTGCATTTTATTGCCGTTTAAAAACTGATTAATTGCAGCTAGAATTTTTTCCTGTTTGATCATTGTAACTAGAAAAAATGTATGCTGTTAGGTAAACACACGTACTCTGTATATTTGTTTCAACTGAACACGCTAATAAATATAAACTAAAAATAGTGTACACACATCTGTAGTCGATATTCGATGGAGTGATGTCCAGATGATTTCAACTATGTTAAATACACCTTAGATCACAAGAATCAAAACTGTATGTTCTGTTTCAATGCATTTAACACGTGCTGGACTAATTTTTTGACTTATGTTGCGATGCTATTGTATTTATTAACACATTATTGACCGATTTGTTAATGCATTGTTGACGATTACGAGAAAATTCGCGTTCTGTTAGCCAAACGTTGTTGGTTAATCCGTGAATTATCTCGCGTTATGAAAAAAGGTAGGATTTAAAAAAAAATGACCAGGCGCAGAGGTTGGATAATGTTGTAAACGATCGACTAACATGAAAAATATCCGGTGAAATATAATAGACGTTTGCCGATATTCAAAATAGCCTGTCAACAATGTGTTAAAGTATGAGACGTGTGTCTGATAATACTTACACGAATATTTTGTGATACTTATAAGAGAGTTTTAGAGGTAAATTAATGAACGACCTGAAAAAGTTCAGCGTGAGCTACTCACGAGCTGATTCGCGTGCGCAAGATGTGTTAAGTGATTACGAAACGGCAGATCTTGCCCGGTTTCCGCCATCAATCCGCCATTATATTCTATTAACAGATCCTGCTGTACTTCCGTTAGTAAGCTGATGCTATGCAAAATCAATTTTCGCAGTCTGGCATCTGCAGCTATGCTTTGGCAATTTCGTTTAATTATAAACGTTCTAATCAGAGTTTCATGTTAAATCGTATGTAAAGGCACGATCTAGAACGATAGTGTTGAATATTCAGTTTTATATTCGAGTTGTTCTCGTGAGAGTGCATTACGTTCGAGGGTTTGTCTCGACAACATTTCTCATCAAACTCACGTTTTTCCCAGTTGGCGAACTTACCGCAACGATCATTATTAGCAAGGAAACCTAAGAAAGAAAAAGATTGAGAGAGAAAGGAGATATAAAGAAAAAGATAGATAGAGATAGAGAGATAGAGAGACAATGGCTATTCAACTGCACAAAGCTGTAAGCAAACGAGAGTTAAATCTATTTTACGAAGTACTACGAGAGAACCTCACTTAATATTAAATTCAACTGATACTAAGAAAAAGAAAAAGAAGAAAAAACAAACAGGAAAGACGAATAATTAAGTATAATAAATTTTAAGCTCGCTTCCATTACACATCTGTCTCTCATATCCATGCCGGCGTCGCAGCCGCGGTTTATCGTCGTCGGTAAGTCCTTTTGTCCGTTCAAACGTCGCTCGCGCGACCGTCAGCACGACGAACGAACAGACTGGGGCGAGGAAAATGTTTTCGCGCGACGAGACGAGGCAAGGCTTGTGCTCGTACCGCCGATTGTTGGCTTACACCGCGGCCAGGAACAGCTCCTGCGAGAATGCTCGAAACTATGTGTGTCTATGTCGTGTGCACTGATTATTCTTTTCTTTTCTTATCGTTGAGAACCGCTCGGTTTTCGCGTGACGTAGCTGGGTTCGCTCGAGAACACTTTCTTTCTCGTCCTAGTCGTACAAACGAAACGACGTTCTACGATCTGTGATCACTATCACTATCATTCTTGACGGTATACCGAAAGGCCGTAGTTAGGCGATTTTGAATTCGAATTCTTATTACGAAGTATGCGGTCGTAATCTTTGATAAACTTAGATTTACCTCATTGCGGATTGTAAAGATATACATACTTGTAAATCAAAACCTAATTACGAATAATACCTAAGCTGTTGTGCATATATTTTAAAATAAGAATAAATATTATTTAAGAGAGACACGTTGTGTGTGTGCATACCCGCGTTGGTTATTCCTTCCTCCGTCTGGTACGTTATGTGAGTATAATATAGAATAATAAGAAGCGTTAAATATATATTTCTGTCAAAAAGAACATCTTCAGTTTTCCACGAGTAATATATTGAGTAAGTGTAAAATTTCGGGAACACGTTTTAGATACTTTCCCGAGCGATACTAACATGTTTTTATGGAAAAAATAGAAGAAAGAAAAAATTAGCCCTAAAAACATGCGTTTTTTAATTTTATTTTGCAAAAATTTTGCATAAATTGCGATTTTTAAATTTTCTCAACGCTATTCGATAGAGCGACATCGAAATTGATAGGAATGGTACTCTTTATAAACAACAGACCTCATTTCTGTAGTAAAATAAATGGCTCAAATCAACATAAAATTTCAGCACATTTGGGCGTTTTTGAGTTAAAATAGCACGTTTAATTTGATTAGGAAAATAACAGCTTAAAAATATGATTTAAAAATAGGATGCATATATTATAGTAAAAAAAATATATATATATTTGGATTATTAAAAATCGTCTTGAAACGTGTTTATCTGTTTATGTTTATAAAAATCTAGCGTACATTTTTGTAAATTTCATTTACGTAATAAATAGGAAGCTACCCAGGACTACTTGATATATAAAGCAAGACTTGGAAAAAAATTAATTTTCTACATCAGTTGTCAGTTTTCACTTATTTTTAAGGATTGTTTTGATGATCAAATGTAGCTGACATAGGCTGTACTTTTCAATACGTTTACTAATTTGATATGTAAAATTAAGAGAACCTAAAATTTGGTCTATTATATTACTTGGTTTCTCCTACATTTGTTATCGACATCATATGTGTGATGAATTATCTTTCAACTCATTTTTTCTCAAAACTTTCAATATTCTATTTAATATTTTACGTTCGCTATCAAAGACACATATGTCATAATTTTTCTTTCTATATCCGACTAAATCTGTTTTACATAATCATATGAAAACAAATACAATATGGCTTGTGGGAAAGAGTTCCCCGAACGAACCGTGATAGCAAACGCGTTATTCGGAGTTTGATTAATCGCCTATGCGGATAGTTTACATATTTTATACGTGATGTATTTACGGTCGTTTTTGTAGACAATGCAAATTACATGGAATATTGCAAATTATATCAACATGTATAAAAAAGAGTAAATTATGAAATTCTTATACATCGTATCTATTTCAGATATTAATTATGAATGAAATGTTAAAAAATTGCATGAAATTTTCATTTCATTATGTGACAGATGGTAGATTTGACTCTGAAGAAGTAAGAGTGTCACCGAAGAATTCTTTAGACTCTCATTTGTTGGAAACAATGTCCATAAATTTACATCAAGGTTCTAAAGGTTAAATAATAATTTAAAATTTTCTCAATTAATGTTTGAGTAAGTCATATGTTCTTGAGATAACATCCATAGATTTTCATCTTATATTTCACTGATTTTGACTAGTGGAAGTAAGATTTCTCTGCAAAATCTGTACACTGCAAAATTCGTTACGTGCTGTATCCAATTTTCCAAGATCTAATTTTCTGTGTTTCTAGCAATGAAATTATCGACTTTTCCATGCAGTTCGCGTGCAATAACGCTATCTACCTTTGCAAATTGCATCAATAGGGACAGTCGTTACTTTCAACTGATTCTTTCACCGAGGTTTTATTGATTGTAGTGCTATACTTATAACTAAATCATCAACATTTCAGTAAAGAATACAATGATTGCACTTTAAATAGTAATATTCCTTTTTGTATTCATGTAATAGGTATGCCAAGTTATGATACATTACGGCGCTTTTCCAGGAGGAATTTTTGAATAGAGCTATGCTTTCGAACGTATAAAGGTAAAAGATCCCTCACTGTCTACATCTAATACTCATTGTCTACATAGATGATATTACAGTTTACGTCTTTTACACATGAACGTAAGCTACTATAATTTACGAAAAGAACGTAGGCTATCATAAATTATGCAAAAAAAACGCCTAACCTTTGAAAGTTACCCTAAGAGAATGGCTTTTCTTCAAGAGAAAAGGACACGCACTCACATGACGTCGTTATAGCCATTTACTTGATATTTCCATGCCGGGACAAGCCGGACATCCTCGTGTTTATCTTCGGACGAGACTCAGCAAACAAAACAGCATTGTTTAATTGTGCTGTCAATTTCAACTATTTACCCATATATATATATATATATATATATATATATATATATATATATATATATATATATATAT